GTCTCAAATGAATAAATTAAAAGAAAATAAGAATTTAAAAAAAATAAAAACATGACACATAATACTATATAAAAACTTGTAGGAGATAAACACCAAATTCAGGGCAGTGGTTACTTCTGGAAAGGGGAAAGGATACTAGGTTAGGGACCCCTGGGATTTCAACTATATCTGAGATGATTTTTTTAAAAACAATGATAATGATAATTAAAAAAATACTAAATAAAGATATAAAGCAAATATGATAAAATGTTAATATTTGACAAAGCTATGTGGTGGGTAATAAGGAGTGCTTTTTCTGTCATTCACTATACTTTTCTATTTAAAACAGGGATTGATAAAATAAACTCTGTGGGCACAAACAATGAATCATGGAACACTACATCAAAAACTAATGATGTAATATATGGTGATTAACATAACAATAAAAAATTATTTAATAAAAAAAAAAAAACTCTGTGGGCCAAATGTGGCCCACTACCTGTTTTTTAAGGCTGGGGCTAAGAATAGTTTTACATTTTTTCTTTTTTTAAGATTTTATTTATTTGAAAGAGAGAGAGAGAGAGCACAAGCAGGGGGAACAGCAGAGGGAAAGGGAGAAGCAGGCTCCCCACTGTGGAGGGAGCCTGATGTGGGGCTCGATCCCAGGACCCTGGGATCATGACCTGAGCTGAAGGCAGATGCTTAACTGAGCCACCCAGGCGCCCCTGGTTTTACATTATTAAAGCGCTGTTAAAAAAAAAAAAAATACAAAGAAGACTATGTGACAGAGAACTTGTGACCTTGCAAAACCTTAGATATTTATATCTGGCCCTTTATAGAAAACATCTGCCAACTCCTGATTTAAAAAATTTCATAAGAAGCAAAGAAAGATTAAAAAAAAAAGAATAAGCAGGAAGGCAATTGAGTCAAGAAAAATGGTTTTATTTTCTTGCATTAAGTATCTTCAGGAATTAAACATTTTATATTACCTTTCTCTTTAAATTAGCTTTTCACAATTATTTTTTCAACTTTTTTAAAAATTTTATTTATTTATTCATGAAAGACAGAGAGAGAGAGAGAGAGAGAGGCAGAGGGAGAAACAGGCTCCCAAGGAGCAAGGAGCCCGACGCGGGACTCAATCCCAGGACCCCGGGACCATGACCTGAGCCGAAGGCAGACGCCTAACCATCTGAGCCCCCCAGGCACCCCATTTTTTCAACTTTTATCAAGAAGAAATCTCATCAAATTTTATTCTTTTCTGGGGCGCTGGGTAAAAAAAATTTTTAAATTTTATTCTATTTAAAAAATTTTATTCTAGGGGCGCCTGGGTGGCTCAGTCGTTAAGCATCTGCCTTCGGCTCAGGTCATGATCTCAGGGTCCTGGGATCGAGCCCTGCATTGGGCTCCCTGCTTCGCAGGAAGCCTGCTTCACCCTCTCCCACTCCCCTGCTTGTGTTTCTTCTCTCACTGTGCTCTCCCTGGTCAAATAAATAAATAAAATCTTTAAAATAAAAATTAAAAAAAAAATTAAAAAATTTTATTCTATTTTATGTTATTTAAAAAAATTTTATTCTATTCTATTCTATGATAAGGGGACTTATTTAAAAGAGTGATGGGAGAGTCTTCTTTTAAATTTTGTGTTTAAATTCAATTTAGTCGGGTCACCTGGGTGGCTCAGTCGGTTAAGCTCCTGCCTTTGGCTCAGGTCATGATCCCGGGGTCCTGGGATCGAGCCCCGCATCGGGCTCCCTGCTCAGCGGGGAGCCTGCTTCTCCTTCCCCTCCCCGCTCATGCTCTCTCTCCCTATCTTTGTTGCTATTTCTCTCAAATAAATAAAAAAAATTATTAAAAAAAATAAATTCAATTTAGTTAACATATACTGTATTATTAGTTTCAGGAGTAGAATTTAATGGTTCATCAGTTGCATATAACACCCAGTGCTCATTACATCAAGTGCTCTCCTTAATGCCCTTCATCCAGTTACCCCATCCTCCACCCACCTCCCCTCCAGCAACCCTCAGTTTGTTTCCTAGAGTTAAGAGTCTTTTATGGTTTGCCTCCCTCTCTGTTTTCATCTTATTTTATTTTTTCTTCCCTTCCCCTATGTTCATGTTTTGTTTCTTAAATTGCACATGAGTGAAATCATACGGTATTTGTCTTTCTCTGACTTATTTTGCTTAGCCTAATTCCCTCTAGTTCCATCCACGTCATTGCAAATGGCAAGATTTCATTCTTTTTGATGGCTGAATAGAACTCCATTACATATATATACCACTTCTTTATCCATTCATCTGTCAATGGACATCTGGGCTCTTTGCATATTTCGGCTATTGTGGACATTGCTGCTATAAACATTAGGGTGCATGTGCCCTTTTGAATCACTTTTTTTGTATCCTTTGGATAAATACTTGGTAGTGCAATTGCTGGGTAGTTCTGTTTTTAACTTTTTGAGGAATCTCCATACTGTTTTCCAGAGTGGCTGCATCAGTTTGCATTCCCACCAACAGTGTAAGAGGGTTCCCCTCTCTATGGGCGAGTCTTTTAATAAGATTTTGATCTCAGTCCATACTTGCCAAAAAAATTGGAAAGCAAGAGAGCCCAGTGTGGGATTTTTAGTTGGGCGTACTTAGATTGGGAAGGTTAGAGGGGGGACATGCTCATGAGCTGTCAGCCAGGGACATAGGAGAGATGCTACATAGGATTTACTCTTGGCCTCAGGCTCACATTTTCTTCTTTCTGCAGCTCATTTCCTTTAGAAGAATTTTTCTCCCCTTTTTTCAGAGAAAATAATGGGGGAGGAGGGTTAAATAAAATTCAAAACACTGTATTACACTACGTTTCTGCTTATAATGGTTGTTAGATGTTGGAATAGGTCAGCAGGAAAGGTGAACATTTTTTTTTTTTTAAGATTTTATTTATTTTTTTGTCAGAGAGAGAGAGCACAAGCAGGGGGAGCGGCAGGCAGAGCAGGTAGAGGGAGAAGCAGGCTCTCCGCCAAGCAAGGAGCCCGATGTGGGACTCGATCCCAGACCCTGGGATCATGACCTGAGCCGAAGGCAGATGCTTTAACCGACTGAGCCACCCAGGCGTCCCTGAACATTTTTTTTTTTTTTTTTTTTTAATGAGCAGACAGGTTATTGAGGGGAAAATAGTGAGACAATACATCTAAATGTCTTAGCATGCCTTAGTTCACAAGAACAGTTAGTTCTTATGTTATTACATTTTGAGATTGCTGTATTGTATTTTCTTTATAAAATATTAAGCACATCAGTATTGCCTGTGCATGTGAAAGCATTTTTTTTCTTTTTGTAACTAATTTCCAGTTTCTTGCCCCCAGTATTGACCAAATTAACTAAAGTTATTACCAACTGTGAATCAATGAATGAGGAGACTCACAGAAATGCTCAGTGAATGTTTGAGAGTATTTAGACCCAAATCATCATTTTGTAACCTTAAGTATGTATAGTTTTAAACTTAAGTACTTGTCACTGGTAACTAAAAATGTGCACAGCACAGCCACAAGATAAATACAATGTAAAAATTATTCATCTGATCACAATATACCTTTTTTCTACTTAAATGAAAATATTAATGAGTATGTTAATATTAACACTAACTTACTCTTTAAATTGCCCACATATATGCCATCTTAATATCTAATTTTTAAAAATTGACTATATTAAAGATATACAAAAAGGCATAAAAATAATATGAAAAATACTTATGATCCACCACCAGATTATGAAATTACTAATTACTAACACTACTGAGGTCCCCTGTACATCCTTCCTCAGTTCCACCTCTCTTCTTTCCCTGGGGATTAATCATTGTTCTGGACATTATATTTGGTGTACCCATGTATTTCTTCATACTTTTTGCATAATGTACATATCTCTAAATAATTCATATCATTTTACAACTTGTTTTGTTAATTGGCTTTATGTATGAATTCATACATGTTGACATATATGGTACATCATTCATGTGGTAGAGACAGTGCTCACCAAGTATATTCTATGTGCTTCCCTATGTTTCTTAGCTTTGGGGCTGGAATCACTAGACTGTGAGTGTAAAGGAAGTGTGTCACAGGTGGGAATAAGGCAGTGAAAAGCAACATCTCTTACTTTCCCTTCCTTGGTGAATTCATAAGCCACATTCCAGATGGAGCAATGGGGCAGTTGTAGGAACACGGAGCACCTATCACCCTGAGCCCCTGAGTGAGGTGGAGCAGAGCCTATTGCCAACCCATGTTAGAGATATAAAATGAACAAGAAATAACTATTGTGCTAAGACATACACACAAGTGGGAAGATAACTGCCTTTCTGGGATTATTAAGGCAAAACTATCAGTAGCAGGGTAGAGTCAAAGCCTTTTGAAAATACTACTATCCTCTGACCCTAGATTGGTATTTATTTCCACTTGCATGAAGAAGCATATCTCATACACTACTCTTTACCTTCTTTGAAGACCCTATTGCGCTAAAAATACTTTCATAGAAGGGCCTACACGTTCATGAACTGCTTCCGGTATGTTAGTTTTGTTTCCCCAGCTAGATTTTAAGGTCTTTAAGAAATCATGTCCTCTCTTTTTTTTGTACCCCACACTGCACCTTATAGTTTACACATGCATGTATTAATGCCTGGTCTACTGATTGACTGGGGAGGATGAGGCTAATATTAAATGCCTAATTGTGTGAGGTACCTTGCTTTTATTTCACATAAGTTATCTTGATCCTTATTATTTCCATTATATAGGTGAGGATATTAAGGCTAAATAACTTTCCTCTGGTCACAGAACTAGGAAGAAGATAAAACATGTGAGGAGGGCAGTTGAAACCAGTCTGCCTGACTCTAGAGCCCTTGCTTTTGCTTTTTTCACTGAACTGAGTGAAAAAAAGTCTAAGGCAGGAACTTTAGTAGAACATAAAATGACCAACAGAAATAGTTTTCCTTTATAAGTTTTGCACACATTAAAACATTTCTTTGAATACTTCTTAGGACTCAAGATTGTTGGGTCTTACCTTGATCACCTCTGGAGTCTGTTGAATCAAAACCACTGAAGTAGTATCTTTGGCTTTATCACCAACAGGACTTCTGCCGACTGATAAATTGGCTTGGGAGGAAGTTGTCAAGGTTTCCTGTAGAATCTGCATCATTTCCTTTTCTTGTGATAGGCTCCCTCTGCCTGATTTGCATTCAACTAGTTCTTGAGCAAAGTCTTCAATGCTTTCTAGAATTCGCAGTAAGAGGACTCTATCCTCTTCCTCTATTTTGTGTCCATTGGTTTCAATAATCCTTGTTAGACAAGAAGGGGAGACTTTTTCGGTGGGTGAAGAGACTTTAGATTTAGGCTCAAGATCTATAGGAAGCTGACCAGTCAACGGACTATGACTATTTACAGAGTTAGAGCTTTTACCTTTGGCAAGTGGCTCCCTTAGAGAGGTCTCCATTTTCTGTGAAAATGATTCCAAATCCATTAACAATTTATCTATCTCTTCCTGACTGTTAGAATTCATAAAATCTCTGTGGTCTCCCTCTTCAACTTTAGGAACTTTTGATCTAAGATCTTCCTCAGGTAGGTTAACAATTGGTTTCTCAAATATCTTACCACTTCCATTTTGTACTGAGGCAGGACATTTTTTAAGAGTACCACAGTCTGAAAATTCTGCTCTATCTTCATTTACCTTTAACAACTTCTGACCGGGTCCATTCTCTGTCATTTGTCCTTTATCTAATGCTTTCTTTCCATCTGACTCTTCTTCAATATAAAGGGTTTCCATTAGGTCACCAGAAGAAACATTTTCTAAAGAGTTCATGGTTAATGACTGTGATTGAAGCTGGGCATCTTTTAGAATTCTGGGATCATTTATCTCAGGGTTATATAAGGGATTTGTAGAGTTGTTTGGAATGGATTTTACTGGGTCTGTTTTCTTAGAACTGTGTTTGTCATCTTGCAGTGCTATAGTATGAAACTGTCCAGAGTCAGGGGCTGAGAGCTGGACAACATCTTCATATTTAGGGGGCTGTTCAGTGCCAAATACTGGGGAAAAGGGAGTCAGTTGTAAACTTGCCGTATTACTGACCAGTTCTGTTAAATCTATAGCCTCATTATTCCCAGGCTGCATGAATTCAAATGGTAGCTTTTTCAGATAGGATGCTAACCTGGTCATTACAGTCACATAGACAGCATCAGAGCTAGAAATTGCATCGCTGCCATTTCCTTCATTGATGCTACTCCCTGACTTTTTCTTTATGCATTGTTTTATGATATCTGTACATTTTTTCAAATCCTCAGAGCATTTCAGCAAGATGTCCAAGCACATTTTTATGTCTGTTCCAGAAGAAAAATTATCTATTTTATGTTTTTCCAAAATCTGAGTAACCAGGTCTTCTTCAGAGAAGTTGTGAAGAAGCACTGAAGTTAGGTTTGTATCAAGCGAGTTTCTATGGGACAAAGATTTTTCCTCAACTGAGGCACTCCGGAGTAAACCAAAGGATGGGGAGCTCCCATCATTGTTATAATGGCCACAGAGCAAGTCAAAATCAACTGACCTCCTATTAAATGAGTCAGACTTAACTTTTCTTCCCTTTTTGTAGGCTGCATGGTTAGAGTTTTTGAGCTTTTCAAAGGAAAATTCTTTTATTTTCCCGCTGGCAAAACTGATTGCTTCTCCTGCAATGTCCTTTAAATTACAGGTGTTCTGAAAGGTAGACCCTTTCTTAACCCTGGGTATGCCTGTTAGGGCCTGCTGGTGATAGTCACCCTCAGCTGAGGAAAACCCATTTTCATGGGGTAGAAACATAGAGTCCAGATCCGCATCTTTGAACTGAGACACAGGGATGTGCAAGAGGTCTGCACAAACACTATGATGTACCACAATGCAGTCAACTCCATGTGTAAAGGTGTGGCAGGTTCCAGTGCAATAATGTATAGCTTGCTCAAAACGCCGGTCTATCACCACACTGCTGTAGTGGTTCACAGTACTGACCACAAGTCTGTAAGTTGCTGCCATAATATCAAATCCACTCAGTGATGTGAATTGGAATTTTCTAGAACTTATTTCAAGTAAATTCTCCTAACTTACACTCTGCTGAAAATATACTTGATGACAAAGTTCAGTGGTTTCTTGCAAATATAATGACCTTTCCCACAAAGAAAAACCATTTAATTTTGAGGTTTGGTAACTGTCAGGATACAGTAGCTATTGCACATGTGTGCTTGTATTAGAAAGTCTAATAATTTAATAATCGCGCTCTTTAGTTTTATTTAGTAATATCATGATACTGTAGGATTTTTATAATATAAAATCCTCTTTTAGTTCTTTAGCAGTCCTTTGATGCAGAAATTTATTGTCATTAATTTACTGTCACAAATCTCAGTTGGCAGTATAGAAGTACTATGATAACTGAGTCCTCCAAAGAATTAAATGATCCATTTTTTTGTGAATGAGAAACCTGTAATGAAAAAAGAAAACAATTTTAAAAATGATTTCTTAATCCTGAGAGAACCTTTTATTTCTTCTTTTGCATCCCATATGCAGTTAGTCACCAAGCCTTATTCTTTGCCACATTACTGCTTATCTCTGATTCATGTCTTTATATCATCACACCCTACACTTCTTACTACCTGGAGTATTATTACCTTAACTTTGCCTTGTTACAATTGCCTCCCAGTTGGTATTTCTTACTCTACCCTCCTTGTTACCTTACATGACACCAACAAGCTTAGATTCAAAGTTTTTTTTTAAGCCCTCACAGTTCAAGAATTCACACTGCTGATCTCCATCAGACACCATGCATCCTACCTCCTTTGACTTATTTTCAAGACTTCCAACATCTGTTCCCATCCATCTACAACCTTATTTTGTGCTACTACCCTGCACCAAACTTTTGCTTCCATCAACTTAATCTTCTCAAAAGTTGCCAACATATAGCGCTTGTTCTTGATTCTACAATTTCCTCTATACTTGGAAATTATTATCCCATCATCTTCTCTTTTCTTACTAAGAGAAATGACTGTCATTACTGCTCTTGATCCTATTCTCTCAGATACTACCACATGCAGAGCTTGTAACTCTCGTTACCAAGTGGATAAAATTTACTTAATCATCCTCTTACTTAAAAAAAAAAAAAGGCTTAAAACCATGCTGTAGTTGCTTTCTAAAAAGGTTCAATCTACTCACTCAAGAAATACTGAATGCCTACTATGTGCCAGGCACTTGTTAAGTGCTAAGGATACAGCAGTGAATAAAATAAAGTCTCTGTTCTTATTGAGCTGATAATCTAGTTGGATAAAGAAAAACAACATGCATGTAAACATATAACTTAGATGGTGACATGTGCTATGGAGAAAAATCAAGCAGGGCAGGGGTTCAGAAAGAATGAGAGGGACTGTGTTATAAAGGGGGGTTGGGGGGGCATCTGGGTGGCTCAGTCGTTAAGCGTCTGCCTTCGGCTCAGGTCATGATCCCAGGCTCCTGGGATCAAGCCCCGCGTTGGGCTCCTTGCTCTGCAGGAAGCCTGCTTTTCCCTCTCCCACTCCCCCTGCTTGTGTTCCCTCTCTCGCTGTGTCTCTGTCAAATAAATAAAACCTTAAAAAAAAGGGGGGGTCAGGGAAGATCTCCCTGACATTCGAACACAGACCTGAAAGAATAAAGGGAACAGGCTGAGGAGGTATTTTGGGCTAAATCATCTCAGGCACAATAACCATAGGTGCAAAGGCCCTGAGGTGGGAGCGTGCTTGATGTACTATAAGAAAGACAAGGAGGCTAAAGTGACTGGGACAGAGAAAGCAAGTGGGGCAGTGTGGGAGGTGAGGTCAGAAAGGAAAGGTGGGAGTTTAAATCATGCAGGATCTGTAGATTTATGATGAATTTGGCTTTATCCTGAGTGAGCTGGGAAATAACTGATGGCTACCGAGCAGAGGAATGACATGATCAGACTTATATTTTAAACTGGTAATTCCGGCTGCTGTGTTCAGAAGAGACTGTGAAGGATCAAGATAAAAAGCAGAGAAGCAAATTACGGGCTACTGCAATAAATTGGGCAAGAAGGCTTGGGGGCTCGGACCAGGATAGTAATAATGGAGAAGTTTAGATACTGTACATATGTCCAAGGTGGAGCCAGTAGGATTTGCTGAAGGATAGGTGTGCAATACTACTAAATCAAGAATGATGCAGTAATCAGTTCATGGGGAACCAGCGCAGGCCTCAGGCAATCTGAACAGGATAACATGGATAGCAGACCAAATCATACAACTTACAACAACAATATAAATGACAAAATTAAAAAAGAAGAGTTGAAGAGATCCCTGTATGACCTGTTTTCTCAGTTTAGCCACGTTGTAGATCTGTAGTTTTAAAGACCATGAAGATGAGGGGGCAAGCCTTTGTTATTTTTAAGGAACCGGGCTCATCCACAAATGCCTTGAGACAGTTACAAGGATTTCCATTTTACGGTAAACCAATGTGAATCCAGCATGCAAAAACAGATTCTGATATAATATCTAAAATGTGTGGCACTTTTGCTGACAAAGAAAACAAGGAAAAGAAAAAAGTGAAAACTGTGGAACAAACTGTGACCACTGCAAACAAAAAGCCTGGTCAGGGAACACCAAATGCAGCAAATACCCAAGGAAATTCAACACCAAATCCTCAGGTCCCTGATTACCCACCAAACTATATTTTATTCCTCAATAATTTACCAGAAGAGACTAATGAGATAATGTTATCCATGCTGTTTAATCAGTTTCTTGGCTTCAAGGAAGTATGTTTGGTACCTGGGAGTCATGACATTGCTTTTGTTGAATTTGAAAATGACGGACAGGCTGAAGCTGCCAGGGATGCTTTACAGGGATTTAAAATCACACCGTCCCATGCCATGAAGATCACCTATGCCAAGAAATAACATATGGGATAGTTGTCTTTAAAGCACTTGGTGTTATTTATAGTGTTTGTTTTGATAACATTTGGTCAAGCCATTTTTTTTTTATTTTTTATTTTTTTAAAGATTTTATTTATTTATTTGAGAGAGAGAGAATGAGAGATAGAGAGCACGAGAGGGAAGAGGGTCAGAGGGAGAAGCAGACTCCCTGCCAAGCAGGGAGCCCGATGTGGGACTCGATCCCAGGACTCCAGGATCATGACCTGAGCCGAAGGCAGTCGCTTAACCAACTGAGCCACCAAGGCGCCCAAGCCATTTTTTAATAGTTGGAATGAGGGGTTGTGAAAGTGAAATTTTTGTGAATGATTTTAAAAAATACCTAGTCTTTCTTTAGCCTTAGTGAACTATGAAATATGAAGGCCTCAATTTTGTATAATAAACTTTTATTTTTATTCTTTAAAAAAAAAAAGAATGATGCAGTAAAGCAATGAAAGGAAGATTATGACTGAAAAGGAGAGCATCAGTTTCACTACACCATCGATAGCAATGGCATTTTAACAATAAAAATCTTTACCCCCCTTAATGAGAAACAGAACTTTATTGTTTTCACTTTTATTTCTTCAAGCCTAGAAAACTTTTTTTTTTTTTTTCTTATTTGTTGTATTTCTTTTCTGGTACATTGTCTCTTCATATCCTTTGCTCACTTAGGTATTAGAGACTTAATGACTACATACACAATTAATTCATGAAGAACCCTTTCTTTTGTTGAATTCTTATGCTAGAGTACATTTCCTGGCCCTCTGGATCCAATGATTACTCTGTTTTTATGCCAGTCCTACCCTATTGTAATTACTGTTGTCTTATTAAGTTTTACTATCTGGTTTTACTTCCCTTATCCCTAATTATGATTTTTTTTTTTTTACACTCCAAATGTTCTTTGATGGTCTTCCAGATGACTTTTTGAATAGTAAGTTTTAAGAAAAATGCTATTGGAATTTGATTCCAATTGCAATAAACTTATGAATTACTTTGAAAAAACACTGGTATCATTATAATATCAGATTTTTCTACCCAGGAAGATGTAAATCTTAATTCTCTCTTTGTAGTTTTCCTCAGTGGGTCACCCCCCACCCCCCCCCCGTTCTTCTTGTTCTTCATTGTCTTAACTTTGTTGCTATATGAATGGATCTGGAGTTACTGTGTCATTCTCCACTTCCTCACCTTCAAATCTCAGATGGTGGCTTATATAAAACTCTAAAACTAGATCTCATGAAGGATGAAGCTGAAGCAGAAAGAAGTTTCACACTAAAGGAAGTGCCCAGTAATTCTTAACTTAAAATGCAAAGAAGCCAAAGAGGAACTAGGTGTTATGGGACAAAATCCTAGAACATGGCAATAGAAGGAATTACCTTTCCAAAAGATGCACAAAAGACAGGGAAGAAATAGCACCAAACATGAAAAACTATACACCTTTTCAGAAATCCAAGATTTTGAAAGAACTTTTCAGTAAGGATAAAAGGAAAGAAAAACAAAGGATATTACTAAGGAAGTATATCAGGATAACTATGTGAGAGATACTAGGACTATATCCTAATACAGTTGATAATATAGGAGATAAAACTGGTGCAGAGGCAAAATACATGAGTGTTAGAAAATTTAAATATCCAGACACCTGTGAAAACATGTGATAAATTCCTAAATTAACATAAAGACTATTTTATTTTTCTGAAATTTGAGAAATTAAAGAAGTATTTCTCTAAGCTTGGATATAACCAAAACAGCCACTTTATAAGGTAACATGACAGAAAATACAAGTATTAGTGTGGTATTAGAATTTGAAATAGTCAAGGAAGAGAGAACACTGGCCAAAGACAGACATGTGCTTTTAGACCACAGCTGCCCTATAAAACATGCTGTGTTGATGGAAATATTCTCTATCTGTTCTGATATGATTGCCATTAGCCACATGAGGCTACTGAGCCCTTTAAATTTGGCTAGTGTAATTGAAGAGCTGAATTTTAATTTTATTACTAATATAACATAATAAAAAAATAAAGCCTGAATTTATTTCAGTAAAAAAAAATTTTGAAATTGTTTTAGACTCACACAGAAGTTGCAAAAGTAGTAGAGAGAGTTCCTGTGTACTCTTCCCCCAGTTTCCTCCAACGATAACATCCTACATCACATCACCATAGTACAATGAGCAAAACCAGGAATTGACATTGGTACTATTAACTGAACTACAGACTTTATTCAGATTTCACCAGTTTTACTTGCACTCACTCCTTCCCTCCACCCTTCCTTCTACAATAACTACCACCACAATCAGGATACAGAACTGTCCCATCACCCCCCAAAACCCCTCCTATTACCCTATGACTTTATATACCCTGTGACTATAAAGTTACAGTCACCCTAATCCTAACCCTGACAATCACGGATCTATTTTCCATCACTATAGTTTTGTTATTTCAAAAATGTTTTATGTATGGAATCATAAAGTATATAAACTTTTGATATTTTCTTCTCTCACTTAACAGAATGATTCTGAGGCATTCACTTCACCACATGTATC